TATAGGCCATATATCATATAATATATAGTCTATCTATTCCATACTAATCGTTAATACGTACCTAGGGATGAACCCGAGCAAAGCGAGGATGAGTATAATTATAGATATGTACGTAGACATTTTATTTAAATGCAACAACAAAATCACGTTTCAACAATTTGAGTTAACGATACTTTTAGGTAATTCTATTTAATACAACCCGTTACACAGCTAACTTTCCCCGTTAATTGAATTCTATTACTAAATTGTTTAACTTTCAACATAAAATAAATGAAAACGAATTCAATGTGTGAATAAACTTTTAATATTTTATTTCTTTATTGTTATGTGTTAACATATACTCGTAGCTAATGTCAAGCAAATTCGCTATCTTCGATGGGTAATCGTTTAGCTACATAATATATAATGAACAATTTCGTGCTAAATCATTTAGATCTTTGGTTGGCCTATATGTGATATATATATATATATATATATATATATATATATATATATATATATCATATATATATTATATATAATATATATGTATATATATACGTATTCATCAAATTTTCAATAATGATCATAGTTGAATTTCAACCACTGGATGTAGACAAGTATGTACATTGTATAGATACATAAGTGTTTCAAATGTTAGGCTTAATCTTCATTATGAGTCAATCTCCATCGTAGTCGAACCCATCCATTCTATTATACCAACAAGGTAAATTAGGTTGAGATTACCTAGCATTCTTAAAGGCCGTATACAAAAGAAGTAAATTAAATTACGCTACAATCAAAATTACAAAAACCGGAAAAAGAGAGTTAAAATCAAGGCAATTTGGATTACTAAGAATCCTTCATTAGTTTTTGTTAGTAATTTATTTCTGGATTTCACTTTTTTATCATATATCATTTCAGACTGCAGTTGGCTGCTCCGAGTGAATTACGACTCGCGATGATGAATACTTTAAGCGGATGAACTGTTTTTAAAACAAAGCACATGTAATTTATTACTTTCATAACTTATTCATCTACAATGTTGGTATATTTTAAAATATCTGATTCCATTTGATTACAAATTAATAAATCATTTACAGATTCAATTTTTGCTGTAACATATTACATACTAGCGACTTACCCTCGCTTCACTCTAGTGCGTCCGTAGGTACTTTTTTTGAGCAGAACCCTAATTCTCTTATAAACGAATATATAACGTCAGCTATCTGCCCGTAAAAGTGCCGTCAAAATCAGTCCAGCCATGACGGAAATTAGCGGGAACAAACAGATAGACAAAATTTAAAAAAATATGTGTTTCTTATAAGTAGGTACCGTATATAATTTCATATATATTTAGTAATAAGCTTTTAATTCGAAATTACAAATAGACACTTCAATTTTATTTATCTGTATAGATTTACTGCAATACTGTGGGTATAAAACTTCATAGAAATATTTATAGCAATTCTCTATGAGCTATGACCACTATAAAATATTAAATTATCTATTTGATCTCAAATATCAGGTGAAGCGTAAAAGCTTCGAAATATATGAGAGTAAAAGCAAGATGTTCTGGTTTTATCACTTTTCTTTATGTGGCTATAATAATATAACGACTTGGAGATAAAGTTTTCGAGGATAACACAAAAATGTCCGAATTGCGGGTAATTGGTAAGGCTTTCTATACACGAATATTACTACGGCTGGGTTTAAAGGCTAATGAAAGAAGTTATAGATGGCGTATATTTTTGTGGGTGTATTAAAATGTTATTAGCAGATGTTTCTAAATATTTATATAACAGTATCGTAAGGTTTGACTGTTTTTTTGTTATCATGAACTATGTTATTTGTCACAGTAACCAAATATTATTTTAGTAAAAAATATCTAATCTTATAGGATCATGTAAATAAAGAAGCTGTGCAGATTGATTGATATCTATACATATAATAAAATTCTAACTGGGTACAATCTGAATATTAGATATTTTTTTAGAAAATCTCATTGAAATAGTCGTTATTATCGATGCAGAAGCCGAATATATAATTTTTTGAATTTTTGACTGTCTGGCTGTCTGGAAACGCATCACGAGAAAACCACTGGACAGATTTTGATGAAATTTGGTATGATGATAGGTGGTTATCTCGGTCAACATTTAGAATACTTTTTATTGCGAAAAAAATATCTTATCTCTGATAAATCTACACTAACCATAAAACGCAGGGACGAATCCGAGCAGAGCAAGGGTGAGTTGCTAGTACCTATATCTTATAAATATTGCCATGAACTTGATTTCTTTGATAGAAAATTATAGCCGTTCACTTGAAATAATAATATTTTATTGCTAACACGAGCAAAGAAATCACTTGTTTGACACAAGTCACTAACATTTGTGCTATTCGAAGAGTAACGGCCTATTTCAATCACAAAGCATTGATTTTCACCATTAGTTTCTATCACTATTACTGTTTATTTCTTTGTATTTCTTCTAGTCTTCATTTAACTTTGACAACTTGACAGGCTGTCGCTCGCTTTGAGAAGCACAATCTAAGGAAAATTTTAGTAATAGAAGACCCGAAATTATAGTAACTATATATTTTTTCTGACAAGGGTTTCCTCTCTTTCTATGAAATGGCTTTTAAATGACAATTTTCTATTAACCGTCCTGATGGATGACATGGAATGGACAATTATCATAAATGCTGCTATGTTTGGCTATAAATAAAGGCGTATTAAATTTGCAAGTAAATAACAGTATATTTTGATCAATATTATATTTATTGATTTAGGTTGCTTCCCCATATAAACTTTTATCTCGCTTTTCACCCCCTTAAGGGATGGTTTTCAGTATAAAAATCTATCCTATGTCCTTCCCAGGGTTTTAAACTATCTTGTTACCAAATTTCATCTATATCAGTTCAGTAGATTCGGATATTCGGTACAAACAAACAAATCTTTACTCTTCATAATATTAGTAAAGATTCGAATTGATGGACCTACTTTAATTTACTTTATCTATACATAGAATAAAATTGTAACTAAGCCGAATCTGTTCATTAAATATTTTTTGAAAAATCTTATTGAAATAGACATTATCATCGATACAAAGGCCGAATCTATAGTTTTTAGAATTTTTGTCTGTCTGTCTGTTACCGCATCACAGAAAAACCACTGGAGGAACTTTGATGAAATTTGGTATGGTGATAGCTGGTTATCCGGATCAACATATAGGATACTTTTTACCGCAGGAAAAGATTTCATTTCTGAGAAAAAATACAAAAACTGCATTGTAAGATTATATATATATACTAATATGTAAAACCTAAGAATTTGGTTTTTGGTCATCTGAACGTCGCGGGCGGAGCCGCGGGCAATGCTAGTTACCTATATTGTACCATAAAATTCGTATTCACTCTCTAGAATATTTTGCAAATAAATACACAACAATTGGCATTCCTTAAAAGTTAAAAAAAAATACCTTTGATCTAAATTTAATATGAACGATAACTTTTTGACCAAATTAATTATCATCATTAAAAACCATTCATTCATAGGCGGTAAAGATATCGCGATATATCACAACAAAAAGTACACCTAGATAGGGAACCTCCTTTTGTTTTGAAGTGTTGTGTTGAAGTTCACATATGAAATCATGCCTCACCTATTGCATCCTTACATTGAATATTGTGTTAATTTCTTATAGATTATTAAAAGCCGAAAAATGGATGTATCTTATAATAAGTAAAATAGTAGTATTCTAACGTACTAATATTTTGTCAAAATCGATTTTAACAGCGAAGAATTATATTAATATTCATGTTATTTAATTAATTTTAACAATTATTAATTCATTTTGTATTTTGCAAGTGAAATGGAAGAACACTTTTTTATCTCTCTGTACCTATTATTTTTATCTACACTAGGTATACTTATGAAATACTAGCGAAGCAAAACGTAACCTATGTATTATTCTAGGCTATAATCTATCTCTGTGCCAAATTTCATCTAGATCTGTTCAGCCGTTCCGGCGTGATTGAGTAACAAACATCCAAACATTAATCTAACCTTATCTAACGTTTATAACATTAGTAAGATGATGAACATTTCGACGGGAATATCATTACGCTAATGGATCGGTTACGCTATAAATGCACAAAAACTGTACGCAATAATAGAGTCTTTGTTGTACCTGGAGGTGTTGACGAAAACAAATAGGGACATAAATATTACTCGCGACGGAAAAATTGCTAGAATTAAATGAGATGCGGAATAGTGTATAATTTTATTTCCCTGTAAGCCAGTGTTTGCATTTCTTTGGGATTTATTATTTCATTTAACGGCGTCCGTTGAGTATATTAAGTTTTTATTTTCAAGTGAATTACCTTGTATAAAGTTTTTATTCTATTTTTTTATTTTTGTTTCAAAAAGTAATACGATGCGTCAGCGTCGATGTCAGTTCTAAATTTTTCCTTTAAGTCATTAAAGGAAAAAATGAGAACAACTTCCGCTTCCGCTTTTCGTCAGATTTAAAATATTAAATGCACTATTAGTCTTTCTTAATATGGAAAAAAATTGTATGGGTTTTAGTAAATATTGGACAACTACACTCAATAAAATCATCTTTTGACTTTATAGCGATGCCATAAACGAACCTCAGTAAAATCGAGAGTGGAAATACAATAAATTCTTAGGATTATTTTGAAATTTGACGAAACTTTTACTTCCGGATTGAAATTCGATAAAATGCAAGTAAAACGTCATTTAAATAATTTTGATAATGGAGCCTTTATAAGGACTTAAAATTACACTCAAGCTTGATCTGTCAAGTGTGAGAGAGATATTAATTTTTGTCGATAGAATGTACATGTATGTATTGTTGGATTTAATGTTAAGAATAGAACAAATAAAATAACCATGTTTATTTTGTATTTGTATGTTTATAATTCTACAAAAATTCAAAAAATATAAAATTCATAATAATCTGGTTAAATTCTGTAGCTTCCGCCGTTCACTTCTGTTAACGTTTCTGGAAAAAAAAAGGATTAAAATTAATAATAATCCTTAATGTATAAAAGGTTCAACCAAAAAGCTCGTTAAATAAATAGCAGCTATGGCGATCAGTAAAAATATAAGAGTACTGTAAACATTCTTATTTTTTGATTTTATTATGTCAACCAAAGACCAAAAAGGCGATAGACACGTTTTTATTATTATATCTGAGTAATGGATTTGACGTTTTATGTCAACCAAAGTTACATTATTATATAATATAAATATGTACATGTTATGTAACTAACAAGCAGTAGTAACTCAGTGGTAAGGCTTGCTTTGTAACTTGCTTGGGAAACGAAGAGAAGTGGGTTCAAATCCCAACTCTCGCACCTCTGATATTTTAATGTACGAATCATTTTCCAACATGATTACAATATTATCTTACGGTGAAAGAAAACATCGTGAGAAAACTTGCATGTCCGAGAGAACCTAACAAGTTTTGGAAAGATATGTGTCCAACAACCCACACTTGGCCAATGTACTATGGCCTGAGCTTCCTTGTATTGAATGTAGACCCGTGCCCAGCAGTGGGCCATAAAAATACAATATAAAAATTAATAACAAATCTAAATATATAAAATGTGTAACTTAAATCTGATTTATCGTAAACTAGCATATAGCAACCCAACCTCACTTTGCTTAGGATTCTTTAAGTAACTTCTTGCAACGCCTAATATATCACCGGAGCTTATTAGTTATTTATATAACAGGATAAAAAGCATGTCACTTCGATGCCCATAAACTATCTTACTGCAATATTCACGTCAATATGTTGGTTTATTGCTAAGTGAATAAAGTACAACACAGTTACACACGTTTACGTTTTGTGCTGAAGGTTGTTATATAAAATAAATGATTTTACCGAAGACAAGCTACTTATCCTCCCTTCCCTGGCTCATAATATGAAAACCCCGAAATACCTGTAGGGGTTGGAAAATTTAATTACAAGCACACATGCTACTCCAGATCCAGGCTATCTCTGCACTAAACATCATAATCTATCCAGCCTTTCAACGTGAATGAGTAACAAACAAACAAATGATTTTGGTACCGCAAAGTACATCTAAACAAGGTCACTGGGTAAATTTCCTCTCGAAGCAATTATATTTTGTGTGTGCCTCACAAATATCGTAATGGGTGACCCCATTATAAAACTTTAGTCGTTATTAATTTATATCATAGAATAGTAAAACAAAATTAATCTGTATAATAAAAATGAAATGCTGCTTTTGGAAAGCGCATCTTGGACAAATCTGGCAAAAATAATGATTAAGTCCGAATAAGGGTTTAAGGGAATGAAATTGAAAAAAAATCTAGGAGAACTGGGAAAACTGAATGTGCTTTTTAGGGTTCCTTACCCGAAGGGCGGCAACAGAACCTTATTACTATGCCTACTACTACTGTGCCTCCGCTGCCCGTCCGTCTATCAGAGGGCTATAACTAATAAACCGTAATAGCTAAAAAGTTTACACTTTCACAAAGTATGTATTTCTATTGCCGCTATAACAACAAATAATAAAAATAATAAAAAATAAAAAAATAAAAGTGCAAGAAACATAACCACATGTATGATGGTACAGAACCCTGTGTGCGAATTCAACTCACACTTGAGCGATTTTTATTTTCTATATATTTCTTTCGCACTTTGAATAAAATTAATGAATGAATTAAAATATTTCACATAAATGTTAAATATAATAATGAAATATTAATGAAATGAAGACAACGTATGAATTTTATGAAGCTTACAGCATTTTTCATATGGTACACAAACTCCTTCGCTGTTCCTCAGATAGTCATGTTTGCATTCGCACGAAGGCAAGTAACAGTTGCTAGATATGGCGGCGCAGGGAGGCGGATGTTTCAAATCGTCACATTTCTTGTAGCATACTTCTAGAGAACATTTATGGTAAACCTCATTTGCAGGACAATCTGAAAATATTACAGTACATTCTTTAACATCTATAATTTTCTAAATTACGACCATTATAACTTATTTATGTTTTTAAATTTAATATCCTTAGAGAGTATTAATTATTATTATTTTATAATTTTTAATTATTTAAGCATGTTTAGATTAATGTGATTATAACGTGTTACATACGTACATATCCTATATTACTATATATAATATAGGATATGTGTGTATATATGTGTATGTGTATATTTTTTATATATATATATTTATATATTTAAAAAATATACTGACAATTTTCTTAAAATATACAAATTTACTAAAATAACTTTACAGCAAACAGGGAAAAACTATATCCCAAGGCCTAAAGCTTGACTTTAAAGAACGATAATAAATGAAATAGCAGCATGATAGGTAATATATAATTAAAATATATTACTTACCTAATGGCTTTTGTTCTTCAAGAGGCGAGCTATAAACACAACTCATCAAATAAACTACTACCAACATACCAAACAGTTTACAAGCCATGTTTGTGTCTCTTAAGTCGAAGCCAAAGTAAGAACTAAGAAGTAATTCTACTGTACCACTATTTATACACGAGGAAACATTAACTTATTTATGTGTATATAGAAGTATTCGAGTAAACAGAACAACATAGTAACAAAACGTGACTAATATAATATTGATTATAATCATGATGGTGCTAATTATATATCTTTACCTTAGGAAGCCTTTAGTTCTCTCAACATATATTCTCCCTCGATGTGTGTTTACCTTGTCGTGGTGGGGAAGCTTATTAGCGTCTGGCATTCCAGCCGGGCGTGAAGCCAAGAAACACATTGGGAGGAGGCTCACTTTGGGCGGTGTACCAAGCGGGTTGCTCCTGGTCCTTTTCTACTCTAGCTCCTCTTCCTACCATCGGAGTAAGTGAGCTGTATGTATACAGGTCGTAAAGCTTAATGCATTTTCAACATTAAAAAAAAGGCACTTAAACATCCATAACGAGCTATCACTATACCAAATTTCATAAAAATCCCTCTAGTGTTTTTTCTGTGATGCAGTAACAGACAGACAAAAATTCTAAAAATTATAGGTTCGGCTTCAGTATAGATAATAATGTTTATTTCCATAAGATTTTCCAAAAAATATCTAATGTACAGATTCGATTTAGTTAGAATTTTGTTATATGTATAGATTAGTTTGTCACATAATATTTATGCACATTTAATTTTATTTATCTTAACTAAGCAAATATTTATACAATAACTGACATAATAATGTAAAGTAATCAAGAAAATATATTTACAAACTACCAATTCCATTACAATATAACATACCTTGTGTTAACTTCAAGGAAAATCCGGCATAAATAAACCCAGCAACAATACAAAGCATCACAGTTAATAATTATGTTCATATGTTATTAGAACAGTTCTGTGTCAATTGGTTTTTTCTGCTGCATTTTTCATCAATATAAATTGGAAACATAATTATTTTGTTAAAAAACTATTAAGTATGTAGTTATTTCACCCAGAAACTTCATTTTTTAACCCCTGACGCAAACAGAGGGGTGTTATCAGTTTTACGTCGATGTCTGTCTGTGAGTGTCGTATGTGTCTGTCTGTGGCATCGTAGCTCTCAAACGGATGGACCGATTTCGATGCGGGTTTTTTCTTTTGAAAGCCAGTTTCCTTGCGGTGGTTCTTAGCTATGTTTGGTTGATATCGGTCCAGCAGTGTAAGAGTATCAGCTCTTTTCCAAAATGATGTAAAGCATTTTGGCGTAAGATAACTCGATTAAGTTCTTCACGCGTGCCAGTGTAATTGTTAAATGACAATTAACTTGCCTAGGGGTTTTTTTAATTATTAATTTATTTTTTCTAAAAAAAATGAGTTTGAAAACTGTGTTGTTAAACACTTCTCAATAACAGTCCGATGATAGAGAGTTCCAACTGACAATTGTGCTTATAGTCTTAAGATCCCGATCTACGTATGTGGTGGACCTTTCACTCTTTTTCCAAGCGATATAATTTTTTAAAACCATAAAATATAATAATAAACACGACTCAGGGGAGTTGTCACCAAAAAATTGCTCCAGGCTATTTTTAATTTTTAAACAAAATATAAATTATAAATATAAAATTTTAAATTTTGACTTTATAGTGATGCCATAAACAAATGCCTCAGTAAAATCGGGAGTGGAAAGACAATAAATTTTAAAGATTATTTTGAAATTTGACAAAACGTTTATTTCCGGAGTGAAATTCGATAAATAAATGGCAAGAAAAACGACGAATAATTTTAATAATAGATCTTCATAAGGACTTGAAATTATACTCAAGCTTAATCTATGAAGTGTGAGAAAGATATTAAATTGTTTTGTATAGAATGTATGTATGTATGATTGGATTTAATGTTAAGAATGAAGCAAATAAAATGACCATATTTATTTTGTTACGAAAAGCTATAATTTATTATACCATTTATTATATATATATATATATATATATATATATATATATAATAGTGTTTTGAAAACTAGATTTTTTGATAGCATCAATGATGATTACATCACCCACTTGATAACTTGTTTTTATTAAAGTATATAATGAGTCACAGAGTGTGGGAATTAATGTTTTATAATTTTATCACTAAATATATTGATATTAGAATTATTATTATATTTTACAATTTGTTGCTCTATTCTTAAAAAAAACTAGAAAGATTTAAATAATAAAAACTTCTTAGTAATCTGGTTAAAGTCTGAAGCTTCCTCCGATCACTTTTGTTAACGTTTCTGATAGAAAGGGTTAAATTTTATATGAATATTTATTGATTAAGAGTCTCAGACAAAAAGCTCGTTAACTAAAAAGCAGTTATGGCAATTAGTAAAAATAAGAATGTTCTCCTCAATTCGCTGTGGTTCGACCCTAGGTACGTTTTAACGGTTATTTTAACTATATAATTTATTATATAATAATTTACAATGTATTTATCATAATGTTTATGAATCTGGAACCCCAACGGTGACTTTTAAATGTAATCGCAAATCCATATCGAATTGATCTAATCGAATCGAATTGAAAATGTTAGATCTTGTTTTATCATGAATTTACATGTAATAGATAAATTTGCAAAGCTTTTTCAACTTTATTTCATACTGGTAACGGAGACTTTAGAGATACACGAGCTTGTAAAATTTCTAATATTGATTCGTTTAAATTCCTCATGATGTATGAAAATGGCAGATTTGCAAATCCTCGCGAGCCCTCGCAAAGTTGCGCTTTTTGCTAGTTATTTTTAAATATTATCGTACTATGTATTCGATGACTCCAAATGCCGCTTGAGGCGCTCGCATCTTTGTATCGTAGGTCCGCACGGCCCTGTGCATATCGTAGAAATAAAAAGCGTCAAATATACAAATGCATTCAAGTAGCTTATATTTATTTTAAGGTTGCGTTCATAATAATTTATAAAGTGGTAGTTGTAAAGAAAAAGTAAAATGTAATTTTTACATTTTTCCCTGAAATTTTTCCAATTTTTCTCTAAATAAGAATCTTATTCAGACTTCAATGAATATTTGAAAACTAAAATTAAGCGAATTGGATTTTATAGAAGATTAGCAGCAACATATCTTCCCTTCCCTGGCTTAAAATATTAAAATACGTAAAGGTAGTGGTTTGAATATTTTATTACTAACAGTCTATTTGCTACTCTAGGTTCAGTCTATCTCTGTACTAAATTTCATCCAAATTCGTCCAGCCGTTTCAACGTGTAAGAGTAGCACACTCGCATTTTCTATAGAGCTTTAGAATGAATTCGATGATTACACATAAATATACTGAAATTAGGATATGGCAACGTTTATAGGTTAACTACCTTTGAATAAAATAATGAATTCTATTAAACTTACAGCATTCTTCATATGTGACACAAACTCCTTCGCTGTTCCTGAGATAGTCATCTTTGCATTCGCACGAAGGCAAGTAACAATCACTAGATATGTTGGGGCAGGGAGGCGGATGTCTCAAATCGTCACATTTCTTAAAACATACTTCTAAAGAACATTTATGGTATACCTCATTTGCAGGACAGTCTGAAAATATTGCATTAGACTTTATTTAACTTTTTGTAGTTTTCTAAATTGTAGTTCGTATTAATTATTTATATAGTAAATTCAAATATTACAAAGATTCCTAATTTAGATAAAATTACCAACTTCTTACTGTAATTGTTAATTTAAAGATAGTTACGAAATATCTATGTTTTTAGATTTAACATCCATAGAGAGTAAAACATTAATTTTATCCTTCGCGAGTTTCTAAACACAGCTGAACTATTTAAGCATGTTTAAATTAAGAATGTGGTTAGAGTGTGCAATAATCACGTATATATTATATAAATAAAGTTGCTATATATATATATATATATATATATATATATATATATATATATATATATATATATATATATATATATATAGTTACAATACCTATTTTTTTTAAATATTTTCAATTTCTAAAATATTCTTACATCAAACAGCAAGAAACAATAACCAAAATCCAAAAGCATCCACTTTATAGAACGATAATTAATTAAATAGCAGCATGTTTTATAATTAAAATATATTACTTACCTAATGGCTTTTGTTCTTGAAGAGGCGAGCTATAAACACAACTCATCAAATAAATTACTACCAACATACCAAACAGTTTACAAGCCATGTTTGTGTCTCTTAAGTGGAAGCCTAAATAAAAAGTAATTTTGCTGTACCACTATTTATATACGAAAAAATATTAACTTATTTATGTGTATGTAGAATTATTTAAGTAAACAGAACAACATAGTAACAAAATGTGACTATATAATGATTATCACCTTAGCAAGCCTTTACTTGTCACAACATATATATATTTTTGGCCAAAAACAGGTTATTCAAGGCACTTAAACATCGTTTGGCATGTTTTTTTTTATGTTTCTCGGAGGCAAAAGTGGTGAGTAAGGTTTTCTCTCGCTTTAACTTTTTCTTACCATGTCTCCTTTGTACCACTTCATCTTTATGAGTTCATTTGACTACAGGAGGAGGTAGAACAGACGTGAGCTTATTCACAAAGTACAATAATACATAGATAATACCTATTATAATATTACTTTTTAATTAACTACCAGTTTTAAAGAAAATGTTAATACATTAAAACATTTGAAATTAAAACAATGATAAATAATTTAATGACAAAATGCTTTTTACTTTATAGCGCTACCATAAACAAGCCTCAGTAAAATCGACAGTGGAGAGACAACAATTTCTTAGGATTATTTTGAAATTTGACAAAACGTTTATTTCCAGAGTGAAATTCGATAACATACAATAAATGATGATAATTTTGATAATGGAACACTCGAGCTTGATCTATGAAGTGTGAGAAAGAGATTAGATTGTTTTGTATAGAATATATGTATATATGTATAACAAATATAATAACCATGTTTATATTTTAAGAAATGCTATAATTTATTTTACCTAGAACATTGTTTTGAAAATTAGACTTTTAGATAACATCAATGATGATTACACTCACTTGATAACTTGTTTTTATTGTTACAGAGTGTGGGAATTAATATTTTGTAATATTACAAAAAAATATTTTGATATTGGAATTAAAATTATTTTGTTACAATTTAATACTCTATTCACAAAAAAATCTACAAAAATCCAAATAATAAAAAAATCATAATCTGGTTAAATTCTGCAGCATCATCCGTTCACTTCTGTTCACGTTTCTGAAAAAAAGGTTAAAATTAATAATAATGCTTATTGCACAAAAGTCTCACAAAGTTCTTTAAATAAAAAACACTTATGGCGATCAGTAAAAATACAAGTGTACTGTAAACATTTTTATTTTTTTCCCCAAAGGGCAAAAAGGTGATAGGACACATTTTTATTGTTATATTTATTGAGTCAACCAAACTTACATACATAATATATATATATATATATATATATATATATATATATATATATATATATATATAATAAAAATTTATATAACAAGCAAAAGCAACGAAATTAATATGATTATTAGATATAATTATATTAGTTAGAAAGTTAGGATTTGACTATTTGTTACTAGAGAGCAGAGAGGAAAAATATTATTCAACAGTAGTGCCGTTTTATCGGTTGCACGATAGAATAATTTCTTTGGATTTTATTGTGGAGTTATATGGAGATATATGGAGTTAAAATAATATGCATAGTATTATAAAAATATTGAATGAATTTACATAGAACTTTGTGTAGACAGAGCGTCTCGACCGTTGAAAAGGGACCATTTTAATGGCAATTTCAATATTTTGTGTAAACCTCTAGTCTACAAAAATGTTTTCAATCCATAAAGGAATAGGTATTGTGGCTATAAAATTCGCTTTAAAATAGAATAAATATATTGAAATGAAATCGAAAAGATAGTTTTATTTGAAGTTTAATATTAGAAATATGCGAAAAGTAAGAAAAAGCACAAAAATTTTCAAAAACATTCGACTGACAAATGAGAAAAAACAAGGGTTGGCACTTATTTCTTACATTTGAATTTTACGATTCAAATATTATATTATTATATATAATAAAAACAATTAACATACATATTTCATCCTTGTACAAGTTAAGTTTTTTTTATTTATATTCTGTACCTTCCAAGCATAAATCCAAAATGACGCAAACCTTTTGCGGTTACCAACCTTTTACTTCCCTTTCTAACTAATGTATCAACTACAAATATACTATAATACTTTATCAGATGTACGAGAATATCTGTAATTTTAAATAAACCTACATACTTTTCGAGTTTTATCTCTTATTATCTTCAAAATAAAACCTAAAAAAAGTTAAAACCCTAGCGGTGTATTTTTGAAATATATATGAATGATAGCATTCTTGAGGCATAAACCTATTTTGAATATACCGTAATATTTAATAACCTACACTATATATTATGTTGAGAAGACTTACTTAAGACGTTTTTTTGTATGTTTGAACGAGTTTACGTCTAGAACTTTTAGTCAAAAACAAGTTTTACTCTTTATATAGCCTATTTATTGAAGAAGATTATAGGCTAAGATCACACACGCACACATACATACACACACACGCACACGAGCACACGCACACGCACGCACGCACGCACGCGCGCACGCACGCACTCACTCACACAAGCACGATCGAGTTTTTTCTTTTTTTCTTTTAAAATTTCTTTATTTAATCCACATAAATTATTAAATTAAGTACATTTCTAGTGTAAATTTAATCCTAGAAGTACATATTAAATACTATTATATTTGTTTAACAAGTACACAGACTTATATAAAACTTATAGCAAAAGGTAACATGTCCATATAGATAATTTTTATTAATAATTGAACAGTATATCATTTAAAGTATGTAGGCTTGAGAAAAGCGATTACATTTATATCATAATTGCACGATCGAGTAACAAACGACTTTATACAAAAAAATAATTGTAAAAGAATTTGAAAAATTTAAGATTGCTCAAAAATTTTGCAAGCTTTTAAAATAATACACTTATCATAAAATCCTACCGCTTGAAACCATTACGATGGTTTTAAGCCTTTTACGCTACAACATCTGACATTCCAATATTCAGTCAACAATATTTACTTACTTTTACTTACTATTGTCACCGTAGCTGGAGTGTTGAATGTCAAATGAAAAGCATCTCTGTAGTCTTTTAAAAAAGTTACTTTTCCATTGGTTTTAATAACATGTTGGTTTGATTATCTGATCGTAAGTCAAGTTAGTAGGTCGGGATGAACGCGTACTTCCCATCCACAGGACCCAAGCAATAGATCCGGCTTATCTTACATCCACGCTAACCGCTTGATCCTATTGCGTATCCACTTATCCCTCTTAATCAAAACAAAACAACACTATATACGTCTTTATAAAACCAAGGGGCTTAGTTAAAGAAACGAAATTTTTAAATTTATTTTCTTCTATTTAAACATTACACATTAAATATTTTTTGGAAAATCTTATTGAAATAGTCATTATTATCGATACAGAGGCCGAATCTATAGTTTTTAGAATTTTTGTCTGTATGTCTGTCTGAGATCGCATCACGAGAAAACCACTGGACAGATTTTGATGAAATATAGTATGATGGTAGCTGGTTATCCGGGTAAACGTGAAGGATACTTTCTAGTTGTTTTTAAAAAAAATCTATACTAATCGTTAAAACGTATCTAGGGAAGAACCCGAGTAGAGCGAGGTTAAGTCGCAATTTGTGTTTGCTAATCTCAGAAACTACTATATTTTTTACGATTTTCAATAGAAACAGGGAGAAGTTTAGTTTTAGTTAAGAGTTTTTCGAATATGCATTGCAAGAATATACCTTCCTAGAAAAGATTATAATTGTGCATACATTTAAAAATATAATGATAATGGTGACTCACACTCGCTTCGCTTGGGTTCGTCCCTAGGTTGATTCCCCATTTAAACTTTCATCCCCATTTTCACCCCTTTAAGGGATAATTCCCGAAAAAAAATCCTATGTCCTTCCCAGCGTCTCATTCTATCTTCTTACCAAATTTCATTTAAATCGATCCAGTAGTTTTTGAGTTTATTCGTTACAAGCATACAAAAATACAAATCTTTCCTATTTATATTTCCTAGTGTAGATTTTATATATGAAATCGAGAAAAATCATCACTTGTTAGCATAGAGGAGCGAGGATAAGCCACTAGCATGATTTAAGTTTAGCTAAAATAAAATTGTGGATTAAACCCACATCATTTTCTTTGAGCACAACAGTGAGCTTCGCATTATACAGATTGTATTCAATGGGGGAAAACTCTCGTTTTCTTAAATACAGCAGCTTGAATGCACAAGCCGCAAAAACCTTTTTGAATCCGAATCTTTTGAAAGTGTGAAATCTTTTTGATTTCGCAATTTTCTTTCGCTTAACGGTAAATATCTTTTGTAATGGAAAGTGTAAATTAAACAAAATATTTATACTTTATGCCTCTTTATTTTTATAAAAAATAAATATATTTCTTTATTTATAACGCACAGGTTCATACTGTACATCCAATTGTGATAAAATTTTACTAATTTTAGTAACGAAGAAAATACTCGTCGATTTTATGTCAATAGTACCTATGAGCTCCATTCTACACTCTAATATTTTGAACCGTTACACTGTGAAGATGTAACAATTACACTCAGTCATAAACTTTCGCATAATACACTACACTAGCTACTCACCCTCGCTTCGCGCGGGTTCGTCCTAGCGAAAAACAAAAACATCTATCCCACGAGAACCAACCTACATTTTTCAGGATAAAAAGTAACTTATGTGATATTCCAAACCATAATCTATCTCTGTGCCAAATTTCATCCAAATTCGTTCAGCAGTTCTGACGTGATTGAGTAACAAACATCCATCCACACTCTCGCATTTATAATATTTATGGGATTAAACCAATTTCATTCATGGGTAAAACCAGCTATACTAAGGACTATAGATCTAAGGAAAAGTATCACTTATATAGTAGTTTAAAGATTCTAATAAACTCCAGTTACATGAAAGATGTGGGCAACATCAGATAGTTTCATAACTCATCAGTTATATCTGAAGAGCAACTAACCTAATAACAAACTAAATCCAATCTGCACTAGTTCCACAAACAAGTCTTAGTTAGGTTGGTAGGTACATGTTACAGTCGGCTACCTAAGCCAATTAGTGATAGACCGTCAAGTTAACAATCTCGGTCGGATATACCGACATATCTTAATCGATGAAGATTTAGCTTCAAACTTTGAATACGTTTTCGTAGCTGAAATTTAATATAACTAGTGTAGTTAATAAAATTAATTACAATCTATATGCTGCTTTTTAACAGATTTCCAAAAGGCGGATATAATTCAAGTTTTATATATACAATTCAAGTTTTATATATACTAGCAGAACCCCGGCTTCGCTCGCGCTAAAACTATAAGAAAATCTCTAAAAAGGTAGTTTCATACAAACTTTCATACCCTTTTTTACCCCCTTATAGGATGAATTTCGAAAAATGCTAAAACACGTATTTATTTATTTTTATTGAAGAGTATTTATTAATAACAAGTTTTAAGTACTTCTGATCATATTTTTTGTATTGTATTATAACGTGTTTTCCCGTGGGAATTAGATGATCTCCCGCGGTAAAAAGTAGCCTATGTCACTCTCCAGCCCTCTAAACATCTCCACACAAAAAATCACGCGAATCAGTCACTCCGTTTTGACGTGAAAGAAGGACAAACAAACCAACAAACAAACAAACGAACAAATAAACACACTTTCACATTTAAAATATTAGTATGGATAATGTGTTTGTGTCTGAAAGAGAGAGAGAAAGAAAGCGAAAGAACATATTTCCCTAATATACGCCAAGAATATCACATTAATTGAAAAAACAAATCATTAGTGCAAATCATTAATCTTTACACAAATATTCAAACAAGGAAGCTGGCGAACATCTGACTGCGACATTTGTGTGAACCAATCTCGAGAGTTAGTGAACACATATGGTTTCAGTTTTTGCTGTTGTGTTCTGCGTCCCTCGGCCCTCCAGTTAGATTTCAACGTATTATAAATTGCCCTAGTACTTATAGGGAGTTGGCAATGACTGTGTAAGTGAATCGAGTCAGCAGAAAGCGCTGCTGTTTGCTGCTGCGCTTCTTTTACATATTTAAATTTTATTTACAATTTTAATATATAAATTGGAGACCATTATTAGGTGTACAAAAAAATTACGGTGCTATGTTAGTAGTTTAAATAAAAGTATTTCTTCAGATTTCGCGGTTTCTTTTTTATTTTTGGTTTACGACGTTTCAACAGCAATCATGGTCACGGAAGAGTTATACTCTCCCAAAATAAATTCACGGAAAATTTCAATGACCTAACAGATTTTGTTGATACTCCTGACCGATTTTGGCTGGCCAATCTCACTGAGAATAGCCAACTACTAGAAATGTTAGAATATAATGCGTATGCGCACAAAAACGTGCACTCTCTATTCCTGTCACTTTCATACTACGGTGGGACGACGCGAGACACGACCAGTGTGACATTTCGACTAACGGCTGTTAATTAGATTTTAACTCAATAATGAAACTGCCCAACCCGGGACTCAAACCCAGGACATTCGGATCTGCAATCAAGATGACAACATATTTCAATTTTTCATCTATTCTATGTCAATTTTCATCCAGATTCAGCCTTTACACACATCCATACATTTCGCATTAATAATATTTATGGGATATATTTCTCTTTATGTATGCAGGTGTGGTAGAATGCATGGCAGCCGGCCTCATCACCATCGCCCATCGCTCCGGAGGTCCTTTGGCTGACATCATAGAGACCTCAGAAGGTTCCAGGAATGGTTTCCTTGCGTCAGAACCAGATGAATACGCTAGAGCTATCCTGGAGGTGATCGCTTTACCCTCGGATGAGAAGAAACGTATTGTGGAGGCTGCGAGGTGGGTTTTTTGTTGAGAAATATAATTTTATTCAGCCTTTTTTAATGTCTCACTGCTGGGCATGGGCCTTCCTTCATTACGAGGGGGATCAAGCCATAGTCCACGCTGGCCGAGAGCGGGTGGGCTGAGCATGTCTTTCGAAAATTTGCTAGGTTCTCACACACATGCAGGTTTCCTCACATTTTCCTTAACCGTCAGACAAGTGATAATCATTTTGGAAATGATTCACATGTCAATATATCAGAGATGAAAATATGAGAGACCCAGGATTTGAACCCGGTTCACTCGTATTCCCGAGCGAGAGCGTTACCACTATTCTACCACTGCCTAATAGGAATAGAATATTTAGTACAATTTTCAGGAGATTTCCATTTTCTTTGTTTATCTCAACTACTATAATTATTTTAAATCTTGCAGAGCCTCAGTGGACCGTTTCTCAGAGATGGAGTTTGAAAAAGCATTCCTTAGAGCAACAGAGCCGCTTATTAGTTTAGAATAAATATATGTAACATTATATTTACAACTTTCCACTAAGTTTAAGTATAAAGGGCTTATTACACTGATATGATATATGGCTAATAAGACATTTAAGATTCCTCTTGAAACACTTATTGTCTATGACTTAATCTGCTTAGAAATATAAATAATCTGTCCTGTGATGCTTATATTTTAAATCATGTACTTATTTATAAAAACAATAAACTTCTTCGTCCAACTAATATTCAAAAAGATTTTAAGTGTGATGCATTAAAAGTTAGAACTAAATTTCGCATGTTTTCTGTTATAGGTAAAATATATTGAGATACTTTTATACAGGATTTGTTAGTAAATTGACTATAGCACCATCTGGAAGACTAGTAAATTTATATTATATTTTGTTTAAATCACTTTTACAAGCGCTTTCAAAACTATTTTTACATTTACTTTAAACACTACTAATCAATGTGTTGACCAAACAAGTTTGTTCTATAAATATGATGAAACAGGATGACTGTATTGTATAAAGGTTCTATTATAGTGTAATAAGCATTTAAGTAGAATCAAAAATAAATTTTACCAAAGTTATTAATGGTTTTATTTACTTTTCTTTACAAAAACATTGAATTACAATGTATAAATAAAATATATATAAAATAATTCTTAAATAATGACAACAAGCTTCATAGCGCTGAATGTGACTTCAAATACTGAATTTCAATGTAATAATTTTTATACAAATGATGTTTAATATATAATACATTTTATGTCAAAACTAAGAAGTCACATTAAGTGCCAACATACAAACATATTGAGAGGAATGTTGGTAATATTGAGTTATTAATCTATGCAGAAGTGCATCCCACTCGGTCCCTCGGGATTAGCCTCAACTCCGAACCGTGTTTTAAAAACACATTTCCTGAAATTAAAAACAAAATATGTAATTATATATACTACTCAAATCAAATAATAATGTCATAAAAGAATATGTTATAATAAATGAGCAAATGTAATCAGCCCTTTTTGTGCAAATGTAATCAGCTGGGCACGGGCATCCTTTCAATACGAGGGGGATGAGGTCGTAGTCCACCCCACTGGTCAATTGCGGGTTGGAGGATTGCACAAGTCTTTCAAAAACTTGCTAGGTTCTGTGAGGCATGCAGATTTCCTCGGGATGCTTTCCTTCATCGTAACTATTAGGTAGTTAGTTGTGTGAATCATGTTGGAAAAGATTCGCACATGAAAAATTAGAGATACGAGACCCGGGGCTTGAACCCGGTCTACTCGGTTTTCTAAGCGAGCACATTACCACTGGGCCACCACTGTGGTAGATTATGGCCTGATTATCCTCGTACTGAAGGAAGGCCCGTGCCCAGCAGTGGGACGTTAAAAAGGGCTGAATGCAAATACAATGTGTATGCAAATACATTTTATTTAATGAATATTAAAAACTATTACCTAAATTAAGAAAACATTTCGAATTAATATTTTTTATTAAAAATATTATACCTAATTTAAACCTGTATCTATTTTAATATACGTAAAGAACAAAGCACAGACAAATAAAAAAAAAACATAAGAGCTAAATATTAATTTAAATGACATTTTAAAGTCGTTGTATGTTTTAATTTAAAAAGTACTTATTTAGTTATAGGGTTAAAAGAATATAAGCTTTTAAATACTCTTAAACGCCATCATAATAACAATTCAATATTCCATTCACGATCAATTTTATGAGATTACTCAATCTTTTTTTGAAAAACGTTCAAATATTTTATATTTTTTTCTTTAGAATATAAATAAATATACTATAGTACTCTGTATTTTTTTACTCTCACATTCCAGTGGGATAATATTCGACCCGGCTAACAAAGGTAACAAGCAACAACGGCTAACAAGGGTAAAAGGTAACGATTTACGTGTTTCCCACGATGGTGGAACACCGCTAACTTCCCTATTCCAGGCTGCTACAAAGAATATCTTGCTAGAGAAATCCAATAACTATATGTACTTGGCTCGACCCACGAATTTCCGATCTGTGGCTTTATGTCCTAGTAGCTGTAGAGTGTAGACCAATGAGACAGTTAAAATATTCAATACTAACGACTCGCGGTGACATGCACAACAGCCCATGTCATTCTCCAGCCCTTCTATCTTAACCAGGGCCGTGCCTGACGGGCGTTCATTGCGTGCACCGCACGCAGGCGGCCGAAATTAAGAGGCGGCCAAATCGTTACAAGTTGTTTACTGGGCAAAAATACAATCGGTTTGTTTTCATTAAGATACGAAGTAAAAACAGTTTCTCTAATCTAATCTATCTAAAAAGAGTTTCTCAGAAATAAGAAATGTATAAAAACTGATTAGGTCGTTGTAGTATTTATATACCTAGTCCATGAACGAATTAACCACTGGACCAGACATATAAGCGGACGTACCTTTAACGGTCATGTCTGTAACCAGGGAATTTTAGCCTAGGTCGTTTGTTTTTTGTGTCAGTCTCAAGCACTTACTTGTCAACAAAACATCTCCCAAAAATGACTAAATGTTCTGTTAAATGGTGTAAAAACTATAACGGCGGAAGCAGTACTATTTCTTTTTACTTGTAAATACATTATTTTATTACATTTATTGTTATTTATCACAAAATTTTTGGTTTTGGGAACAAAACCAATATTTTTTTTCGTTCTCGATTTCGGTTAACCAAAAACTGATTTTTTTCCCGGTTTGATGCCCTGTGTATAATAATAAACATTAAAAATTAAAGTAGTTTTTTTTAATGTTATACTGGGGGCGGCCATACAGACTGGCACGCAGGCGGCCATATACCCAGGCACGGCCCTGATCTTAACACAGCAAATCAAGCCAATTCGTCACTCCGTCACTTCTGTTTCGGCGTGAAAGAAGGACACTTTCACATTCATAATATTAGTATGGATAATAAGGATAGCACAATACCGGCAGTCTGCTGAGGGTTGATGCCGATACCGTCATCAGTGATGATAGCGCTGGTAGCGGGCTCCACGCGGAACTCCTCCGCTGCGAACTTTAGCACCGCTGTGAAAGGCGTCGCTTCGGGCACGCTTAGGCTGCAAGGATAAAATAGGATCTCATACATACTTCTATATTTTGTATAACAGATACAAAATATATTAATTTTAAGAAAAAAATCAAAAGTTTTCTTTAAATAAATTAATGATAAAGTGTTCAATAAACATTTGTTTTTTTATTCAACCAAATCATGTATTGAACTTCATGCATAGCATCATAGCATGTGGAATTTTGCATGGGTTAACTTAGTCTTAATGTTATTATTTAATAAAAAACATATATAATACTGAACATCTACAACCACTAGCTTTTTAGATTTCACTTTTTATAATTATTGAAACAATTCCAACATTACATAATATCTTTCTTAATAACATTAGAAGATGTTTTATACTATTCTCAATAATTGCTTTTTACCAAAACGGGCAAGATTCAACAGCTTATATGCCAATTTTAAGTAAGCAATGTCTTTTTACTTTTCAAGATGTATTTTAATAAATACTTACGTTATTGCACACACACACATACAACGAAACATAACAAAAGTCATGCAAAGGTGGTCTAAGTGCTATGAGCAATCTCTTATAGACAACTTTTGGTGAAAGGATTAATGAAACCGTAAACGGGACGCTACAATTAGTATTAAATATAAACATGCTTAAAAAGCTACATATACATACATATATACTAAATAAATACATATAAACATATATGTATAATATATATTATATACAACTAAAGTCAGATACATTAATCTATACATATAATAAAATTGTAACTAAGCTGAATCTGTACATTAAATAATTTTTTTGAAAATCTTATTGAAATAGACATTATGATCGATACAGAGGCCGAATGTATAGTTTTTAGAATTTTTGTCTGTCTGTCTGTCTATTACCGCATCACAGAAAAACTACTGGAGGGATTTTGCTGTATGGTGATAGCTGGTTATCCAGGTTAACATATAGGATACTTTTTAGCACGGGAAAATATTTCATTTCTGAAAAAAAAACAACAACTGCAATTATGTAAGAGTATACTAATATGTAAAACCTAAGAATTTGGTTTTTGGTCATCTCAACTCGGGCGGAGCCGCGGGCAATGCTAGTTACATATATGTATATAAAAAAAATTGTGACTTAACAATGTTTATTGCCTATATGAAATACAAAATATTACTACTTACGTAGGACGTAAGCATTTATTTAATCGTCAAAAGTGCTTAATAAAGACGAAAGCCCTACATTTAATTTGGTATCAAATTATAATTAATCGCGACATGCCCGCAAAGTTATTTATATAGGTTATATGTAGGCTTGCGTAATGAAATACACAGAATTACTCTTCCTAACCTGTTCTGAATTGTAAGTAAAATTACATTACTTTTGTACCCCAAAACGTAATACAAAAGTATTTTTGTGGCTTGTTTTTTAAGCTGTATATCAAGTTCTCTTTTATAAAGTTAATTAATTAATAATGCAATATCTATATATTTGAACGATTGATTCCAACAAGGTTCCGTCATATATACATATAATAAAATTGTAACTAAGCCGAATCTGTACTTTAAATATTTTTTGGAAAATCTTATTGAAATAAACATTATTATCGATACAGAGGCCGAATCTATAGTTTTTAGAATTTTTATGTGTCTGTCTGTTACCGCATCACAGAAAAACCACTGGAGGGATTTTAATGAAATTTGCTATGATGATAGTTGAGTTATCCGGGACAACATATATAGGATACTTTTTACCGCGGAAAAATATCTCATCTCTGAGAAAAATGCAAAAACTGCAATGTAAGAGTATACTAACTGTAAAACCTAAGAATTTAGTCTTGAATATAATATACAAAACAAATACGTACTGGTATCTGACGTTAATTATTTCCTTTACAATATAGTAATTTGTTATTGCGTGAATCTTGATAAATCCAATATATACAGGTTTACAAATAGTGAAGTGTTTAATTAAACTCGGAAGATCAATACTTTAAGAAATTAAATAAATATCAACGCATAAATAAGCGGGCAGATTTATTCACTTAACGTGCATACTATGGCCATTGCAGATATATATATATATATATATATATATATATATATATATATATATATATTTTAATAAAATTGATATTAATTTAAGTATTATAAGATTATTACAAGAATATAGATCCTACAAATATTTAACGTAAGCAAAAGAAACTTTAATAATTTCCGTAGTTTTGAAAAATAACAGTTCCAGTTGCAATTCTTAAAAACGTAAGAAAAGAAAGCAAACACGGGAACAATGGCTAGTGTCATATAAGTAAATTATGTAACCATCTAATAAATCTATAATTCGTATTCAAAATATTTTATTTAGCATTAAATTATTACCATTTTTACTGAACGTCACTAGTCTACCACCTGGAACAGTTTGAAAAAATAGTTATTCTGAATATATATAGCTATTGGAAACTCTTATTATAAAAGATAACACTCTGATAAAAACACAAAATTAAAATTTTAATAGGTTAACGCGACCAAATCCCACTAAAGTAATATAAAAGCATTATTAATTTTCCATACCCCTTTCAACCAACTCCTGTTAATTAAAACCAAATAACTCAGGTATTTTGTGAACATATACTTTATTATCCTACGCTATTTCAACGGTAATACATGTCCCTGTACTCTCGAGCCTCATTATTAATGTTTATCATCTGAGAGCAAATTCATAAATCCACTATCGAGTCTAATGGACGGCCTTATTTGTGCATGGGCTTAGCACCTATTACAAAATTGCCGAAAATATTTTATTAATTAAGTCGAACGACACGCTATCAGCTTATGTAACAAATAAAAAATATATAAATATAAATTCTGACAGCTTTGCAGTTAATACATTCTTTACTACCGAAAAAAGATATATATATATATATATATATATATATATATATATATATATATATATATCTTTTTGATATTAGAATAATTTAATTTATTTAAATATATATATATATATATTTAAATAAATTAAATTATTTTTAATGTCTAGACCTAGAGTATTGAGGAGCAAAATGAATATAAATATTTAAACACCTCTTAAATATATATCGGTATTCAAGAAATTTGTGTGTGGCTTCTTTATTGCCCTAATTAATGTTATAGGAACCTAATAAACTTTGCGGAGGTGTCTATTCATTACTATTATATAAATATAAGGACTATTTAGAAATGTTAGACCCATTTTTGTAAAAATTTTACAATCCGCTTACGCGAAGAAAATTGTAATAGGATGTTGACAAACTCCTTACGACTTGTATTAATTAGGAATTAGGTACATAAAATATATAAGGTAAATTAAATTATCAATGTCTAAAACGGCCCAAAAAATCAGCACCGTCGCGTCGCCCGGAATCACAATTTAATACTGTTAGTGTCTTAACCCTTAACCAGGCATAGAGGGTTTTGTTCGACAAAGTCTATGAAATTCAGGATTTTTTTGATGTATATAAGAAGCAATTAAAACAATACTTTAGTTTAATTTTTTATTCATTATTTAAAAAAAAAAACGTTGTGGTCCCTAAGAGTACCTTGCCCAGTATTGTAACAAAAGTGGTATGTACATATATGTGGTCTATATAGGTACCTAGACCTGAATTAGTCTTGGGCACAATGTGACATGGATACAAAATAGTATCTAGAGTTGAAAATTCTGAAAGAAAAAGACAACAAATTTGTTTTTTCCGTAAAAAAAAAACAATTTGTTTTTTTTTTCACGGAAAAATCAAATTAGGACATTGAATAGCTCTTCAGTACTGATATTTTGTATTTCATCCAGCTTTTTGTTCAGGATATCAGAGATATTCACGTCGAGAGGATCATCACTTTCTTCATCTTCTGAATCTTTCTTCATCTTTTGCATATCCTTGTCGTTCAATGGCCGGCGCTGAAAATAAACGAACTTATCATAAAAATCTGTCACATTGATAACGCTGTAAAGGGCAATGGTCTTATACATATCACACGTTTCAATGGATCATTACAAGTTTGAAAAATACTGTTCAGGACAAAAAATTATATTGAGGTAGTATTAAAATCAACAGTACTTACAGGATTTTTCTACATATTCGGTGATTTTCTGCACAAGACACATGACATTTACCGTTAGCCATCGAAAATTGACAAACGTCAAAATGTTTGTTTATTTTTTTGGATTAGGTGCGTTCGGATTCACACAAGAAAAAATTACTTCAAAGAAATCTGTATTGTCTATGGCTACTTGACAGATATCAAACCCGTATAGGCGCATTACTCGTTAAAAATTAATAAAAAGTAAAGTGGTCCATTTTCTATGTCTTGCCTGTTTAAGGGTTAAGAAAATTCCAGTAGCATCTTCAGGATAGAAGATGAAGGAAAACGTAGTCTGCTTTAACGCTTTGAAAAGGGTATAATATAGAAAAAAATACAAAAAAAATGGCTAAAACTATATTAAATGAACCTCACTAAACTTTTTAAGCTACATCATTTCAATTAACTTACTCTTGAATAGGAAAAAGGTTTTGTGAAGGGGACATTTTGATGATTTTGAGCAAGAGGCTTAATAATATCCAAGAAAAAAACCAAAACTAGTTTTGTGATGAACGTGTTAAATAGAAATTTCTTGCTCGTTTTATAATTAACCTGTAACACTTACTATCAGTAATGGAATGAGTAAAGGTCCAGAAGGAGTTGTAGGTTACGAATATGAATGAGTCTTATATACACAATTCACATTGCACAAAAATCAAACCCAAAATAAGGTCGCTTTCTCCGATAACCAAGCCAATGTTATCTAATAATACTATTCATTGATTACACCGAATCTCAGATGGCAGTCAGCGAATTTAATTTTTTACCATTGTCGTAATAAAATGGAAGCCAAGTTCCGCTAGTTAGGATTGTTACGAACAATCGACGTTCTAGATGAAGTCCATCATTCAGCATTTTGTAATTCTACGATTTATACACTGGTTCATAATTTAATATGATTAAATTATATATTTTTTTATTATCGATAATACCTTTTCATCATCATCGCTTGGCTCGGATTCGCCTCTACGAAAACAAAAACAAACCTATCCCGAGGGAACCATACATTTTTCGGGATTCAAAAGTAGCCTATGTATTATTCCAGACTACAATCTATATCTGTGCCAAATTTAAGTTAAGCCGTTCTGGCGTGCAGGAGTAACAAACATCCGTACTCACAAACTTTCACATTTATAATAGTGTAGTACAGATTTTAAATCATCTTTTTGGATCTTTTCGGGAATTTATTTTGATTTTTGGTTCCCAACGTTTCGAATGCTTTACAACAATCATTTTTTTTTTAAAGCTTACCTGACTGGCGGTGCGAAATGAATTACGTATTAAAAATTGTTGGTTATAGCTTGGTTTATAGCATTTTTAGAAGCCATTGGGAAAAAAGAATTAAATTGAATTTAAAATGTAATTATTTTCGTCATATTTTAAATAAAGTAAACATAAAGATGAAATATTTTATATTTTCTATCAAAAAATTAAACCATGAAGTTTTGAAATCCACCAGTGTGTAACAACGGCCCTTGCCGATTCGAATAGACTCGTCGCCTGTCGCGGGGGATTATTAAAACTTTATCTTCCTCATAAAAAACTTTCATATTAAAGGAGCTCGGCTCAATTTTTACAGTGAGTCTACTTAATTACACCATAATATTTTTAATCAATTATTTTGAATCTTAGGTCCACTTTTTAGGGTTCCATAGCCAAAAGGCAAAACGAAACTCTTATAGTTTCATCTTATCAAAACAGACACGGACAGACATCCGTCTATTCGTATATCACAGCCTTTTAACTCTAAGACTATTTATTAGAATACACTATAGAGTTGAGGTTAGTACCCATTTCCCGATTCGACATTTTTTTACAGAAATATTGGACATTGCTATTAATTACAATAATAAGCGTTACACACCATACATGAGGGGTTAAAATTGAGTAAATATAAACTAAATTGGGGTTAGGAGTGTTCTTTGGATGTCTTTAAAAATGAAATAGGTGTATCGGTGTTTCAAAACACAAAATCTTTATGAATTTGACCTTCCTAATCGTATGTAATAAAGCCATTAACACTATGCCCCCATCCCTCTAGCACGGTAATGTAATGCATACAGTATTCCAACTCGGGCCTGTCCTTGAAATAATTACGTACAGCCGAGCGGCACGTACCCACGCGACAGGGCTGCCCGAGTGAAATAGTTTTTAAATAAAGAATATTATATTTTTTATTTAAAAACTATTATTACTAGATTTAATTAAAAAATCTCAAATTAAAAGCTTTATTGTTAAATTTAATAGTATAAAGAATCCGCATTCGGATAAAAAGTTTAATTAAAAATACTTTAATTTATAATTTAATTAATTAGTATTTATTTTTAAAACATAAGATGTCTCGATACTTCTTTGTTTGACATAATAGCGAATTTACGGGAGGAATAAAATGTTTATTTTTGTATCCAATTATAAAAGTTACATAACATAACCATCTTATAAAATTTTCGTATCAAATTATACGATGTGGCAGCCCCGCACGGTTGTCTACCGAGTGTATACCGAACGCGATGCGCGTAGGTATAACTATATTTCCGACCTTTTGTATGAAGATGGAAGGTATGTAACATTACCGTGCCTCTAGTTTTTAAATTACGGGGTGGAAAATTTTGAAAAATAATTGAAGTAATAAGTTTTAGTGAGTAATAATAATATTTATAATAATTAGGTAGGCAGTAGTACCAACCTCATTATTATAAATATACTAAATATACTCAAGTATTCTTATCATTCAAGTTTATTCATGAGAGGAATATCTAGCAAACAGAATAGATATTTGACTTGTTTTTAGTTATAATGAAATTTTATAGTACCTGATATAAATTCTTAAAGCTAACGTTTGACTTCCTTTTAGCGACGGAGATTATAATATTTTGTTTCCTCATCTCGGTTTTTTTGCTCAATATTATAATAGACTTGCCTGCGGCCCCGCTTGCGTATTTGAATTATGTTACCAGAATAAGTTTATTAAATTTATATAAAAAAATGTTTTTAGATAAAAGGTCTAGCCGTACTTCTATGGAGAAACTGCCCCTTGATAGGAAGCTATATCGTAACCTATGTTATACTCGTATTGTAGAGGATACTAACAGTAGTTGATCGAGTAGATATTAGCTCAATCTTAGTTAATTGAAGTGCTATTTGAAAAAAAGTCTCCGGGGACGTGTTTTTTTCATAGCGATATATCTTAGTTAATTTCAAAGCTAGCAAAATAAAACTAAATGTAACTTGTGTTATAAAATGCATTATTTATTTTATACCTAGTAGTCGTCTACAGAATCGTAAGACATTTTGTCTTCCCAACGCGAGAACTAATGTAATAAGCCACTCGCCCTTATTCCGCATGTGTTCAGCGTATGATACTATTCGTTTTAAATTAGATATTTTTAATGATACCTCTATAGCCTATTTACGTAAAAAATTAAAGCAAATTGTTTAGTTTAATAGCTGTAATTCATATTTTTTTTTAAGATTTTTCGTTATTGTTAGTAGATAAAAGCCGTTCCTCATTGTTACCGTAGTTTAAATCTTGTTTTTTGTAATATTAAGTTTTGTTGTATATGCATGCTGTGTCTGCATCTAGAAAAATGCAATCTTGTGCATTAATTTTGTAAGCTATTCTTATTTTATATGTATTTGATTGTCATTTGTTTTGTGGACCACTAAACATAAACAAATAAATAAATAAATTGCTATTTCCTATGGGCCAAGCCTAAATAAAAGTATTTAAAAAATGCAAATAAAAATTTTGTCAATCGATTTATATCAGAAATAATAAAATTACCACTTTGTAAAAAATACATAATAATTGTCTATATATTGTCTAACAGCATGTTAAGTTTCATTTGTTTGTACCCCAGTCATGGGTGTTTATATTTATAATATGTATGTGTTTAAAAGTTCTATATGTGTAGTGTATCAACTATCTGGTATCCATAACACAAGCCGCGTAGCTTACTATGGAACTAGATGGCGCTGTGTGTTAATGTCCCATACATATTTATTTATTTATTAAAATCCAAGAGGGGCAACATGTCAAAAAAAATTCAAAAGTAAGTGAGCAGGCACTTTACGACCACTATGTTGACACTTATATTGCATAACATTTTTGTTTTTCAATATTAGGCACGGAAGGTTTAAAAAGAAATAGAATAAATATTTTCTCAATAGAAATTAAACCGGTATTCATTAAAAAAATCTTTTATTAGTCATCATCACTATCTTGATTAATTACATTATTTTAGTGCTTCATATTTATTGAAAAACCACTGGATAAGATTTCTGTTATTACGTACGGCTGCACGCCCGGAGGTCCTGGGTTCGAGTCCCGGGTCGGGCCAAGTTTAGTTATTGAGACTTTCTGTATAGTAAGTCTCAGTAACAGCCCGGAGTTGGGAAGTTGGCGGTGTTTCACCCCCGTGCCTCGGAGAGCACGTAAAGCCGTCGGTCCTGCGCCTTAATTCTCACCGGTCTTGTCGAGTGGTCGTCCCACCGGAGTATGAGAGTGATAGGAATAGAGAGTGCACTTGTGTCTGCGCGTACACTTGTGCACTATAATATCTCCTGCGCAGTTGGCTAATCTCAATGAGATTGGCCGCCGTAGCCGGAATCGGCTAGGAGAACATCATCATCATCAGTTGTTTGTTACGAAGGCTTGCATATAGAAGATCGCGGGTTCGAGTCTGACTTGAAACAAATTTTATAAATACATAATCGTGTATGATTATGTTCATATTGTAAATGACGAATGATATAAAGTGCTTCCTAAGCAATGACTTTAAAGAAATTTTTTATTATCTTCAAATATTTCTAATGGAATATCAAATATTTATTACAGATTTAAAAAATATGTTTTTGTTATATAAAGTACTCTTACGAAGCTTACATATTGCTCTAAATACATTTCGAAGTACTTAGAAGGCTTTGTGTAAATTCTACTTCTATTTTCGTTCTAACAATGACATCTCTTTGCAAATTATGCTCAAACATCACAGCTTAGACCCAGCTTTCACAAATATTTTACTAAGTGACTTTTATGCTTCAG